GTTTGATATAAACTTAAATTCAATATAAGTCTGGGTTCTGAGAGCTTTGACTCGAATATTTCAGGCACACTGCAGGTGCTGTTCTCATGAGGTCACCTGTCATCTTAATTTCGAGGCTGTTACTCAGGGCTAGAGTCCTCAGACAATCTTAGAGATACTTGCCATCTTCCTTGTTTATGTCTTGTTGGTGCTTTGGTTGCCACTTGGGCCAGGGTCAATTAAATATCAGTTGACGGGCGCTTAGGTTGGTTCCACATCTTCGCACTTGTGAGTTGTGCTGTGATAAACATTCAGGTGTAGGTGTCTTTTTTTTTTTTTTTTTTTTTAATAAAATGACTTCCTTTGAGTAGATAATCAGTCATGGGATTACTGACCATAGACATTGTACTAGTTTAGAGAGGAGGAAGATGGGCAATAAATATCCATCTATTTGTTACAGGACAAAGAGGGTCTGGCTGCCTGTCTCTGTTCAGCCAATCTGTGGAGATGGGGGATAGATCCTATGGTTTTATTAGCAGAAGGCCAGCAATTCTGGAGAACAGTGAGAGTATCCTCTCCAAGACTGTTCTGTTCTTCCATTTTCAAAACCACGATTTTATACATAAAAGTTAAAAGCAAGAACCGTACTAACCCTTCTCTTAAACAATAATGATTAACACTTACCTTCAATAACAGTATTCTCCATAACCTATGACCCATAATAAATAGTAATTGACATAACCCATGACTAATAGAACAGCATTTAAATTTAAAATTTAAATCGATCACCCTAAACTACTCAAACATATACTTTTAGGTTAAAGCTGAATTTACAAAGCAACAAAAATGGGAGATTTGAAGTGGAGGTCACCCCGGCCCTAAACAGACCTGTGGAGCTGGGTCGCGTCGGCCCTACCCTGACTGACTCCATCTTACTCTGACTCCATCCGCTCTCATGTTGGGTACAAGGTACGCTATTCTGGTGATGGGCACACAACAAGCCCTAACTTCAGCATTACATCCATTATCCATGTCACAAAACACTTGTACTTCCAAACCTATTGAAACAAAAAAACACAGGGTGGCCATGAAGTTTGTGGGCAATTTAGAATAGTTTACTATTTTAAAATAGTAAAAGGGTTTCCCTGCTCCATTTATATATGTACAGGGTGTCCATAAAGGTTGCGTGCAATTTAAAAATAGTTGACTGTTTCACGTCAGCACCACACATGACTACAAAGACTTTGGATGTAGCCTGAAGGAGACTGATGACCTGTGATTCAGCTGCACTTCCTGACAACACTGTCACCACCATGTATTACCTGAGTCGTCCTGGTGGATCATCACAGGGCCTCTCTCTTCCAGGCGCCTCTACTCATCCTGCTCTTGAAGACTAGTGGATGATGCCAACGATGTCCTAACACAGTTATTAAACAGGTTACTCAAGCTGTACTTTCTCTATTTAGTTGGAGCTTTTATGGGGAAGAGTTACAATTCTGAGCCAAAATTGAAATCCTGATCCTAATGGACTCCCTTCTTTTAGTCAGCATATTAATGTCTATTCTGCTTATTTTTAATGATGTTCTAGGGTCATGATGATGAGTAAAATAGAACGGCAAGCTGAGAGTTCAGAACGTACAGGCCTCTGGCATGACTCAGTGCTTTGTCCAGGCTAGTCACCTACCCCTTTTGAAACATCCATTAAAAAAAAAGGCAGTTCTGGGATATGTCTCCCAAGGGAACAACTGAGCTGCCCCAAGGAGGTGTTGGGGTAGGGAGAGAAAATTAACCCAGGTGGATACTTGAGGAGTCCATTTCCTACTACAGTTCTGCCCACTTCTTTCTGTCCCTGCTTCTCCCATAGATGATCAAGGTTTTATTCCTCCCTCCCTTCCTTCCTCGATATTTCCCCTCTACTATGAACCAATACTTTTGAAAAATCTTTTTTTTTTTTGAGACAGAGTGCCACAGCATTGTAGCTCATAGCAACTTCAAAGTGATCCTGTTGCCTCAGACTTCCCAGTAGCTGCGACTACAGGTGCCCACCACACGCCCGGCTAGATTTTCTATTTTTACGAGTGGGTCCTAATTCCTGGGTGCTCATAACATATTAGGCAGATAATGTGCTAAGCACTCTAGCTACATTATTTCATTTGATTTTTCACCAAACGAGTATTAGAGTCTCAGGTTTTTGTTTTTGTTTTTTTTGAGACAGAGCCTCAAGCTGTTGCCCTGGGTAGAGTGCCGGTGGCATCACAGCTCATGGAACCTCCAACTCCTGGGCTCAAGCAATTCTCCTGCCTCTACCTCCCAAGTAGCTGGGACTACAGGTGCCTGCCACAACACCTGGCCATTTTTTGGTTGCAGCTGTCATTGTTGTTTGGCGGGCCTGGGCTGGATTTGAACCCACCAGCTTAGGTGTATGTGGCTGGCGCCTTAGCCACTTGAGCCACGGGGCACCAAGCCTAGAGCCCCAGTTTTATGGATTAGGAAACAAAAGCTTACAGTCATGATATTCAACATGTGATCCAAAACTACTGTTAAGAGTCTTTAATGATGTTAGAAAAGAAATTGAGTGTTAGCATTTAGAAACATTTATAGAAAGTTAACATCATTAAGATATATTTATTGAGGTTGGGCGTGGTGGCTCACACCTGTAATCCTAGCACTCCTGGAGGCCAGGGTGGGTGGATTGTTTGAGCTCAGGGGTTTGAGACCAGTCTGAGCAAGAGTGAGATCCTGCCTCTGCTAAATATAGAAAAACTAGCTGGGCATTGTGGTGGGTGCCTGTAGTCCCATCTACTGGGGAGTCTGAGGCAAAAGGATCGCTTTGAGGTTGCTATGAGCTATAAGGCCATGGCATTCTACCCAGGGCGACAGAGTGAGACTCTGTCTCAAAAAAATTTTTTTTTAAACTGGTTTTTAAAAACCAGTAAATAGAGGAGAAATAACAAGGAAGAAAGGAAGGGAAGGAGGGAGGGAGAAATAAAACCCCTGATCCTTCGTCCTGGACAGCCTGAGACATAGGGGCTCAGACCTGTAAGGATGCGCCTGAAGTTGCACGTAGCGTCAGAACCAAGATTTCCACCCCCGATCCTGGATTCCAAGCCTCACTCTTCAGCATGCCACTCGATTGTCTACTTGATAACAGTGATGATGAGCCAAGAAAGCAAGCAAGCAGTAAGCTGATGGCAATTTGTCATTATTTTTAGGATGGTCAGGAACTCAAACTTCAGCTTTTGGAGAACTGAAACATGAGAATTCATATCAAAGCTAAGATTCACCATTATCATCATCTTTTTGACTCTCATTATTATGGTTCACATTAATTGGGAGCTAAGAGCCAAGAATTATCCCCTGTGTTTAGCAGGGATTATCTCATAATCCCTGGTACAACTCAGTGAGACTGCTATTTGGCTACGCAGCTGCAGAACCAGGACATAAGTCAGGTGTGCTTTATAAGAAAGCCTTGACCACGGCGTGATTCTTTCCTACCTATATTCCATGATGGATTCCCAAGGATGTTGGGGAATGGGGCCCTACAACTTGCTAGTTAATGACAGAGGTTTGAGGATCAGACAAGCTGGGTTTGAATTTGGTTCTAGAGCTGTGTGACCTTGGACACATTACTTAACCTCTCTGTGCCTCAATTATCATATCTATAAAATCACCATAAGATTTGCCTCTAAGGCTAATGATGAAGATTAAATTGTTTAAAAACGCATAGTTGCACAGTGCTTGGCACACGCTGTTCAATAAATTGTATATAAATCAGTAGCTTTAAGTAGAGTAAAAAAAAAAAAGTGGAGTGTGATAGGTTGTGGATTTCGATTCTCAATCACAAGACTACTGTCTTTTCTTTTATTTTTTTTCAGTTTTTGGCCAGGGCTGGTTCGAACCTGCCACCTCTGGTATATGGGGCCAGTGCCCTACTCCTTTGAGCCCCAGACGCCACCCCAGACTACTGTGTTTTGCTCTTCAAGAGGACGTGAGGCTTTAAGGGGTTCTGTCCATTATGCTTTACAGAGTGACTTTAACCTAATTCATTTTTCCTGTTTGCTGTGATGTCACACTCTTTATTTCTGATATTCCCACCTGATAAATCCCTGCTGTTTGAAATAGTGAAACCCAAAGACTTCAACAAACAATAGGAAGCTCTTCCTTCAGGGAGAAGAAACTATCCTTTCTCTTTTTCATCAATTGCTAAGATATTTATGATTTTCATTCTGAGCATGTTAAGTTCCAGAAAGCAAGTTTGCCTGTTCTGTTCTCCAACACCTGGAACACTGCCTAGTATGTATGAGGGACTCATTAATATCTATGGAACAAATACATCTTATTGGATAATTCAGTCACAGCAACTCGTCTTCCTTTCAATTGTATTTCAGTTTGCCTTTTAAAAAATGTATTATTTATCCTCAAAGAATTCAAAATAGACTTTCCATTTGATCCTGCAATCCCATTACCAAGCATCTACCCAGAAAAAAAAAATCCTTTTATCATAAGGACTGTTGCCCTAGATTGTTTATTGCAGCTCAATTTACAATCACTAAGATGAGAAAAAACCTAAATGCCCGTCGAATCAGGAACGGATTACTAAACTGTGGTATTTGTATACCATGGAATACTATTCAGCCATAAAAAGATGGAGACTTTACATCTTTTGTGTTAACCTGAATGGAGTTGAAACACATTCTTCTTAGTAAAGTATCACAAGAGTGGAAAAGCAAGGATCCAATATACTCAGCACTAATAAGCAGCCAGTAGATGAACTGCTACATCCCCACATAGGAGAAAAATTCAGTTCAAGTTGAAGGGAGGGGAGAACGAGGAGGAAGGGGGACTGATCGCTCCCAACTAATGGTACATGGCACACCTCCTGGGTGCAGGACAGGACTACAACAGGGACTTTACCTAACAAGTGCAAACATTGTAACCCAAATGTGCAATCTGAAATAAAAATTAAAAAGAAAAAACGTACCATTTAAAAATGTTTTAACCTTTGCTGTTTCTGTACTCAGAAAACCAGCTTTTACTACACTGGAGGTGCGGTGGAAGGAAGGCTGCGTGTTTGTTCTGTATTCACCTGTATTAGGCAGAAAATTGCAGCCGGAGGCTACCACGGGCTGAGTTCCAGGTGCGTCTTCCCGTCTTCCCGCAGCCTGTGCCGGGGCCCCCGCCTCCAGCGAGGGATGGGGCGCGCAGTGCGGAACGGCGTCCTCCAGTGAGTCACCGGGGCATCACGGTGAGTCAGGCCCTCTGTGCACCCGGCAGGTTTGTCAGATCCGCTGCGGCATCACGGCCTTGACAGAGTTACCGTGCGAGCCGCGGCGCTTCCCGGGTCTGCAGTGCTGTGCGCAGAGGAGGAATGCGGGCTGGCGGCCCACCCGGCTTTTTGCACCGGGAGCGGAGCACGCAGACACACAGGAAGCAGAGCTGCCGGGCAGATAAACTCTGGCCCTCTGCTGCTGGCCTCCTTGCTGGAAGCTCCCCTGCACAACTGCCCCTCAGTGCGCCGCCTTGGCCTGCCTCTGTCACTCACTCCCTAACCTCTCCTTGGCTCCTTACAAGGAGTCAAAAGATTCTCACCAGCGCTTTTCTCGTCTTCACTACTCCCACTTTATGTTAATAAACTAGAGGAAAAAAGTGATGATTGAGTAAATAATATGTGTTATACCCCTTGACATAATCTGTCAGCAGCTGTTTTAATTCTTTGGCCCCAATTTTCTCATCTGTGAAATGAGAGGTTTGGACTAGCAGTGCTGGCGCCAGGCCCCAGTGCTCTGAGAATCTGGTAACTTTGCTCCAGGGGGGCATGGGAATCATGCAGATTCTTGAAAGAGCTCAGCTAGCTCATTTCCAAGGGCCCTTCTGTGACCTTTTTTCCAACCTAGTTATTCCCTTTAAGCCGGGAAAGGAACTTATTCATTCCATTAATTTGGAGAGACTATAAAAAGGTAGACAGATTCTTAACAATCTTATTTTTTGTAAAACTGAAATGTTTACATGTTTGTTTCTAAACCAAGTTCAACTGGGAAAGCATAGAACTGTTTACGTTTCAATTCCCATGTGTAAGGATAAAAGGCTATCTCCCAAATTCCAAACTGAACAAAAGTCCTAATTCAGAGCCCAGTGCTCTGCGGTGGCGGGCGGGGGTGTGGGGGGAGAACGGGTGGTTGCCAGGTCAGCAATATTTGAGTGCTCCTATTTTATTCGCAGCCACAGCCCACCAAGTTCATTGCCAGCAGCACTTCCTGCCCCGTTTGTCAGCTGCAGAAGGCCTCAGGAAATAAAGTTTGTAAAACTGTATTTTCTGGCTGACTCTACCACTTTGTTGAAATAGCCACACTACCTATGACATCAGTGACAAGGCCAAAGGTGAGAAAATAGACATACATTAGTCTCTCAAAAGTATTCAGATAAAGGTGGGGAGACCAGGTGCTTCCTTTCAAAAGGACAAAGGGCTTGGAAACAAAAAGTAGGAAGAATCACTTTGAGAGATCCACTTTAACTTCGTTCTTAGTATCTGAGATTATCTATCTATCTATCTATTTGTTTATTTTTTGAGACAAAGTCTCACTATGTCGCCCTTGGTAGAGGGCTGTGGTGTCACAGCTCACAGCAACCTCTAACTCTTGAGCTTAAGCAATTCTCTTGCCTCAGTCTCCCAAGTAGCTGGGACTACAGGCGCCCACGACAATGCCTGGCTATTTTTTGGTTGCAGTTGTCATTGTTGTTTAGCAGGTCCAGGCCAGGCTCGAACCTGCCAGCCTCAGTGTATATGGTTGGCACCCTACCCACTAAGCTATGGGCGCCAAGCCAGTATCAGAGATTATTATGATGTTCCCTAAGGACATTTCATCCCTGGATTTCAGAACAGTGCCTGGCACATAATAGACGTTCAATAAACATTAAATCCATGTATGGGTCAGACAGTTCTGGTAATCTAAAGGTCATTATTTGTTGAAAGTTAATTCAGGAAAAAACTCAACTGTATTCTAAAGTTATAAATGCAGAGACTGGGTCTGCACGGGGCAAAATTATCAGAAAATTGCTGTTGAAGTGAATTTGCCAAGAGTTCTTCTAGTCAGGGGGAAAAAGGCAGACAACATGGGTCTTGGTAATAAAGGTTTTTAAAAAGTGTATATATATTTTTTTTTGTTTTTTTTTTTACAAATATAGCATTTCTTGAAAATTCAGTATTGATTCGTTGATGACAGCACAGATAAAATCATCTTTAAATGTAAATGATGACATTTATTTCAGTAAGAGAAACAGCATTACTCAAGGCAATGGGTTTATGGAAATTAATTTGACAGTTTTAGGACACAATACTGAGTGATTTATGATAGTGAAAAACTGAATTGCCCTAAAATGTCTAACAATAGGGAATTTGTAAAATGAACTATGATGTTTTCCTATAATTATATTTTCAGCTGAAATCATGTTTTCAAAAAATATTTATTGACATGAGAAATTTATATATATTCAGTCTCAAAGAGATGGTAGCAGAAAGTGTGCACTGACTTGCTACCCATTCCAGTTCCCTTCTCCACCCTAACACCTCACAGTTCTGTTGAGATTTTTGTCCTCCTTGGTCAGCTGTGGGCGTCAGGGGAGTAGGTCCCAGCCTTGCCCGGGAGAGTGAATCGTCCGTGGTAGACGTGAATTCCTCTTGCTAGTGATCAGCTGAGGCAGGGGTATGTGATTCATTTCAGGCCACTGAGGTGGACTAAGAGTGGAGAGGCTTCCAGAAAAGTTTTCCTTCATCACTAAACGAGTCACAGGAAACAAAGATCTTGCTTCTATCAAGTGCTGGTGAGTGCTATGTGTTATGTTCAGAACCAAGAAAGCCACTTTTCAGCCAAGCCTAGGGCTAAGCTGGCGAGTCAGAGCATGAAGAAAAAGGAAGGGGCCCCAGGTAGATGTTTTGCTCACCAGTCATCCTTGGAAACTTTGGCCAAAAGTGAACTGGGTGTTCATCAAACACCCACCCACTGCAAGTCAATTCCCTTCATGGCCAATTTGCTGGATTTAGTTACTGATTTTAACTATTTATTTATTTGTTTGTCTATTTATTTAGAGATGGAGTCCTACTCTGTTCACATGGGTAGAGTACCATGGTGTCATAGCTCACAGCAACCGCAAACTCTTGGGTTTGAATAATCCTGTTGCCTCAGCCTCCCAAGTAGCTGGGACTGCAAGAACCCACCACAACAACCCAGCTAGTTTTCCTATTTTTAGTAGAGAAGTGTCTCACTCTTTTTCAGGTTGGTCTTGAACTTCTGAGCTCCAGCGGCCCTTCTGCTTCAGCCTCCCAGAGTGCTAGGATTACAGGCATGAGCCACTGCGCCCGGCATGATTTTAACCATTTAGATATGATTGATTGACTTTCATTTTGTCTTCATTATGGCATTTAAGAAATATTAACATTGTCTCTGTCCCAGTTCCTTTTTGCTATAATTGGAGACTGATTTTGGATAACTCGTCAGGCTTAAGATGTCACCTTATTTCTGGACTTACTATGTGAGCTAATTATTTCTTATTATTTAAGCCAACTACATGTTGTGTTCAGGTTTTCTCATAGTTCCAACTAAAAGTGTACTGATGGGGCTTCGGCATGGTGGCTTATGCCCACAGTCCCAACACTTTGGAAGGAGGGGGTGTGAGCATTGTTTGAGGCCAGGAGTTCAAGACCAACATGAGGAACAGAGTGAGACCCCCATCTTTACAAAAAGTAAAAAAATTAGCCTGTTGTGGTGGTGTGTCTTTGTAGTCCCAGCCACTCAGAAGGCTGGAGGTGCATCACTTGATCCAAAGAGTTCGAGGATACAGTCAACTATAATTATGTTATTGCACTCCAGCCTCAGTGACAAAGCAAGACCCCATCTCTAAACAAATAACCAAGCAAAAACAAATAAATAAATGTGTGTTAATGGGCTACATGGGGGGAGAGGGAGATGATAGATTATCTCTGAGTTATGGGAATGGGGAATATGGCTGATCTGTGCCTTAGTATGTTCTTCTTTTTCTTTTTCTGTATTTTCTTAATGTTCTATAATGAACATATATTGCCATTATATGAGTAAAGTGGAAAGTGGAAAGTTGTTCTTAAAAACCGAGTTAAATGCTGTAAATGGTATGAGAGCTAATCTCAGAGGGTTGTAAGATCATTGAGAATGGGCATCTGGAACTTGGCAAAGTGTTGATTGGGAGGGCTTCCCAAAGGAGGAATGATTGAATTAATTATAGAAGCCTGAGCATACACAGGGTGAGTAGGGAGGGGCGAGGGTTAGGACCCCTTAATCCATTGTTCCTGCTTTGGTAGAGGAGGAACATTCACAATATTTCCTGCCTCTTCCTTGCCTGGTGCTTTACAAGTCCGTCATCTCCTCTCATCATTGCAGCAGTCTTGAAAGCAGGTATTATCTACTTTTTATAGAAGTAGGAACTGAAGCTCAAAAGTGCACACAAGTGACAAATACTGGAACTGTGATTTCAATGTAGATCTGGCATGAAATGTCATGTGGAGCAATCCTGACAGATGAGCTTACTGAGAGTGAAAATTATACAGTGTTAGAGCTGAAGAGACCATTCAGCCAAAAATGGTTGTAATGGTAAGTGACAGAAAGCCAATTCAAAGTGCTTAAGCAAAAATGGGAATATATTGCCTTAGGTAGCTAGGCATGATTGGGGGTAGGGTGGGTGTATGGGGGTGGATGTGAAGGTTGCAGCCTATAGAGGGGGTGTTGTAATAAAAATATTTTTTACATTAGGAGATAGTGTCTCAAGCCTACACAAAAGTGCACATATAATATACCTCTATAATGCCACTACCCATTTTTTTGTATAAATGAAGCAGTTTCTCAAAGTAAAAGTGAAGTTAAGATCAAATAGGTTAAAAAAAAAAAAACAACGAAAAATCTAGAGAAAGGATCTGAATTACTTTTTTATTTATTTATATGTCATTGTTTTTTGCACAATATTGTTTGTCCTTTATAAAAATGATTTTTGGCAGCACCCATAGCCAGTAGGCAGAGCACCGGCCATGTACACTTAGGCCCAGGCCTGCTAAGCAACAATGACAACTTCAACAACAACAACAAAAATACCCAGGCACTATGGCGGGCACCTATAGTCTTGGCTACTTTGGAGGCTGAGTCAAGAGAATCACTTAAGCCCAAGAATCTGAGATTGCTGCGAGCTGTGATGCAACAGCACTCTACCCAGGGTGACATAGTGAGATTCTGTCCCAAAAAAAAAAAAGAAAAATAGATTCGAGACACAGAAGATTGTTCTTTATTCCCATAGAGAAACCTAACTCATACTTCCTGTTAGCCAGCAGCAAAGAATACTGACCACAGGGTGACCTTTAAGTGTATGGCTTTAATTAGCATTAAGCTGAATGTTTGTTTTCCAACTGGGTGCAGGGTACTTATATTTTAGAACTTTGTGATTATACCATTAGGGGAGCTTATATCTTCTTTTTCCTGTATTTTGTCCTTAGGTCAGGAATTGGCAAATTTTTTTCTACAAAAAACCACATAGTAAATGTTTTTAACTTTGCAAACGATAACAGTTTCTGCTGCTGTTACTCAACTGTCTTTGTAATGCAGAAACAGCTGTGGATGATATGTAAGCAAATGAGCATGGCTGTGTTCCAATAAAACTTTATTTTTAAAAAACAGGAAGCAGGCCAGATTTGGTTCACAGGCCTTGGTTTGCCAATCTTTGCCCTAGATCTCTGATTTTTTTTTTTTTTCTGATGAAAAGGACTATTCTTTTTTTAACCCATGCAAGAAGTCACCACAGTTTTCTACTGGATATTCTCTGTTTCAGTTATTACAATGATTGTCTAAGGGAATCAGTCTCAATATAGGAATTATTCTTACCTGTTTATATTTCTGTTCATTCTAGAAGAGGAATAGTCTTATCAAGTCATGTCAGTTAGAAAAAAATAAAATCAATGAAACTATACTGATAGAAAAATAAATTTAAAGCCTCAAAACGTTGTATTTAAAAGGTAAATTTGAGCTAGGCACAGGGGCTCATGCCTGTAACCTCAGCACTTTTGGAGGCCAAAGTGAGAGGACTGAGGCCAGAAGTTCAAGACCAGCCTGAGCAAGAATGAGACACTGTCTCTACAAAATATAGCTGGGCATGGTGGCACATACCTATAGTCCCAGTTCCCAGGGAGGGAGAGGCTGGAGGATTGGTTGAGCCCAGGGGTTTGAGGTTGCTGTGAGCTATGATCATGCCATTGCATTCTAGCCT